GTGCAAATAGTGACAGCAATTGGTCTTGCTTCCTCAGAGACAGAAATCCGTGTCCATTTATTAATTGAAAATACACATGTATTTTACAGTTTAGGTATGGCCTCAAAGACATTGTGAGTAGGACTGTCACAATAAGAACTTAAAATATATACTTAATGAATAAAAGATGGTTTAATATTTTTGTTTTGATGCATAATTTATGTAAGAGTTCCAAAGACAAGTTAAACTATGCTTGGAAATGACCACTTCTAGTAGTTTGAGTCCATCGTTGGATGTTGTAATTCAGTTTTCTGAGAAAGCTCTAGTAGCTTTAAAAACTTTATGTTACAAATTAGTTTTGAAGTTTTATATATTATTGTGTGATCTGCTTATTGCTCGTATGTAAAAATATAATTTATTACCTTTGTTTAATCAGTGTGAAAATATATTTAAAATAGAGTATGACAGCAGGCAGTTTTGTAAACTTCAGTTTAGTGTTGGTGGCTGTATAACATATTGTGATGGTTCAGAATGAAACCCATAGTGACTTGTGCAGCCAGCTGCAACAAATAAACATGTTTTACTGCCTACTGTCATATTATGTTTACAGCACAGCAGACTGGCTGTCATCAGAGAAGTTTGAATGAAAACTTTTTGGTGAAACGATGTAACTGCTAATGTGGTGAGAATTATCTTGGTGGTTTTATTTTTCATAAACTTGTATCCTCTCGTCTTATTACTTAATACAGATTTCTAATTGTATTTTACATCTAAATTAGTTACAAAACAAGGGCTGAAGTAGGGGCTGCCTATTTTTTGAGGCCACCTTTTTTCCATTCTCCAAATGAACTGAGAAAAACTGTAATTGGGGACCTTGCCCCTGCCCATGTTTCTTTGAAAATCGTGTGGCAGTGAACTGCAGCAATGTGACTGCTGTTCCTTGCTGGTAGGTTTGGATGCACACCAAGGTTTTTGAGGAGGTTGTTACTGTTCCTGGCACTTGAGGATGCTTCGTGCTTTACGGGGCAGCACATACATGTGTTGAGTTATATGGAGGAAGCCATGGAGGTCAGGCATGCGTGTCCTGTTCTTGTCGTGATTCCCCTATGGCTATGGAGCAGTTGAGCAAGTCAATCGATGGATGTGAGTTAGTGCTTGATAATCTTTTTGTCACTAACTAAACATCAGTCACTTTGCAGGGCAGTCTGGTGTTGCAAATCCATTTTTTGTCCTGTAGGGTGTTCCTGCCCAGAGGGTTGCTTTTGCTGATCAGAAGGGATACGACTTTTTTCCCAGCACTTCCTTTTGCTAGTGAAGAGCTACCAAGAACTTGCTGAGTTATGTGCCATAAAACATACCTTTCATAGTCAACCTGTTGATGAATTGCTTTTTTTGAGTTATCACGGTTTGCGTTTCCATGGGCGTCTTTCTTTCAAAAGGAGCTTCTTGGGTGTTCGCCTGTTCTCTTTCTGAGCCATGTCTTTATGCTGCCCCAGTTTGACAGTGTTACTAACTTTCATGGACGTGAATCCTGTGTGTCATAGCACTCTGGCTTTCAGGTCATTCAGAATAATCATAGACTTTCTTCAAAATAATATGCCAAAGGTGCCTCCCAAGGAATTTGTCTGGTTGGCAGGAGAGTGTTGCACAGGTAATCTGTGTGTAGCATCTGTGCAGCAGTGAAGTAAGGCATTGTGCGTGTACAGTTTTAGAGTAATGCTGAGCTAGCTCTTCTGGTGATACCATATGTGCAAGGTAAGCGTAGCAGAAGTCACTAATGCCTGAAGGAGTTAATGATGGTGAGATCATTCAGGGCACAGGGTAGGTCAGCAGGTGAGCTGTAGCCTGTCTCTCATAGGGATTACAGGGGGAATTTTGTTGCATGTAATTTGTATCCAGCAAGAAACAGTAGTAATTGGCTGTTAGCTACTTACATTGAAAGAGAACAGCCAGGGGGACCTAAACAGCTAAAAACTTTTTGAATGAAGTGAGAGACCTTTCATAGAGAGCTTATGAATTCTTCTGAGTTCTTATGAATTGAAGTAGTGTTCATATATTTACGTAATTGGTGAAGGTTATGTTTCCTAGGTGAAGTGAAGCAGTCCTTTTCTTCCAGTTGCTGTTCATAAGTGAAAATGGAGTTATGTTCCATGATACGGTCATTAAGTGTTTCTGTAGAAGTCATACAGCCTTCTGTTGACCACAGCTTGGAGATGTATCTGCCTAGACTCTCCCCTCACTGATTTTATACGGGCCAAAATACATACCTACATAGAGAAAACTCAACTTAGGCAGGCAGAGCAGTTCTCCTTCCTCATTTGCCTTCGTAGGCAAGTCCTTTCTTCTAGCAGACTGAATGACCCTCTCGGTGGCAGGACTCGGCTAATTTCTTTTGGTCTTTAGGGAGGTCCTTTTTGTCCCCTCTGCCTTTTAGCTGATTGCTTCATGATCTCCCAGTTGTCTCTGAATAACCTGCAGGCTCCGATATCCTTGTGATGACTCTTTTGCCTGCCAAATCTTCTTTCTGCTGAAGAAGTGATCGCTTGCATTCTTCCAAGGAATCCACCTCCTTTCATTGCTGTACAGGAATGTATTGCCACATACTGAAGGTGAAAAGAAAACGAGTGCATCCTGTGAGTTCCTAACAGAGAGCGGAGACTAGGCAGTCCACCAGTCTGGTATGGGAGGAAGAATATTTTTCTGGTGTGGTTTTTGTAGCAGACCATCTGGCTATTATTAAAAGTTGCTGAGGAGTGTGGTTTTGATGGACTTCTCACTCCTGAGCATCGCTGCTATAAAGCAAAGTAACCAAATTTATCTTAAATATTTTATTATAAACAGAGTGCAAGTGAAAGCTAATGCTTTCCTCTGTATCAGCAGGTCTTGTAGGAGGTGTGAAGGGTTAAAAATGTTTTCTGTTGCTTTTTGACCATAAGAAAGTAGGCTGCCTGCTTGTAGTCTTCTTTACCTCTCTTTGTGTTAGGAACATATTTTTTATTGCTTGTGTGGTGTATTTACCTGATGCTTTCTTCCAAGGAGGTAGCCATTGTCGAGAAGTTTATCTAGGAGGAGATTCTAGTCATCTTCTTTTCCTTGCTGCAAATAACACAACAGAAAACGCTCTTTAGTCCTGCTGTTCCACCAGCCAAAATAGATCCCACGGAGTGTAAAGGCCATGTGTGCATGCGGTAGACTTGCAGCTTGCACTGGCTTTCAGGACTGTGCTTGCAGCATGCCGAGCACCCAGGGCTCTTGCTGGCATCACCCAGAACCAAGGCAGTGCCTGTACTTTGTGCATCAGTTTTGAAAAGCAGGAGAAAGCTGCGGGGTAGCTGCTGGGACTTCTCGTGAAATTTTACAGGCAGAAGTTGCCTGCTGTGGGCGTGCCGCAGGCAAAGGAGCCGGTAAGGACACAGAGCGACTTTTCATGTGTGTTAGGTTTGAACGGGTTGACTTGTTCTTCATAACAACTTTGAGGAGGTGTGAGGGCGTGTGGGAAGCGAGCTGTTGAAGACAACAGTGAGCACTTCTCACTAATTTAAGAAGCTGTTAGTAAAATGCTGAGTTTTCCTGGTGTACACCTGTACAATGCATGAAGACAGCAGTATTCAGGAGAGCCAGCATGCTTTGGTCTCCCTCCCTCAGCTAGACAGTGGTGCTTCAGAGGTCCTGAGCCTACTAGGTTCAGGCCCTGAGCTGTAGTTCACACTTAGGTGCCCAGGTGAGATTGATATTCCTGAATTCTCCTTTGGGTGTGATAAATCAGCTGAATTCCATGAAATAGTTTGAGAAGTAAGCAGTGGCATTAGTATCCTTAACTTTGCTCCGTTTTGAGGAAAAGCTTAGTGGTTCCCTCCTCTCCTTCAAGGAGTTCATAGCTGCATCTCACACCTTCTGTTTGGGGAACAGTGCTCTGTCCATCCTGTGCATGCAGGAGGAGATGCGGTGCTCTTGGAGCCAGAGGGCATGCACAAAGGTGGGAGGGATGACTGCTGCTGATAGGTGAGCTCTCCTCCAGGAGGAAGGGCGTACTGACTTACCTAGCCACTGTAATTGTATTACCTAGTGCAAAATACATGGACAAGTGCCATGAAGAGTGCCTTGTCCTCTAGCAGTACCTCTGCCACAGCAGCAGAAGACCTAGTGCTGTCATGGTGCAGCAGGTATGTTCTGACCACGTTGTTGAGGTTTGGCTCTCAAGAAAATCAGAGTCCAGCGCTTCTATGGATAGATCCCAGGCATGCTGGAGTACACGATGGCATCAGGTGACAGAAACCCAGGTTTGCTGAGGTGGTGGCAATTCTAGGTTCAGTCTCAGGGGTTTACTTGCTGTAGGTGCAGTCCTGGTGAAGGCGTAGTGGCTTTGTGCCTCTCAAGTGCCTGGCAGGTTAGATACCAAATGTTTCGGTGATCTGAAGTTTACAATTGAAGTGCAGTGAGTTTTACTGTTGTTTTACAGTTCAGGAAACTGAAGCATAGTGTTCATGGTGTGACTTTATCTGAATAAGCAAGAGAATCATGTTCTAAATTGGACTCCCAGATAAATCTCCTCTCCTGCGTGTCAGTGAATCAGTACTCTTGTATCCTGTACGTGGCTTCGGATTATTCTTCATTGGCTATGTACCTGAAGATGGCTTCATGATTTCATACAAACTGGTGGATATCACCTGTGAGCCCTGAAAGAGTCACTGATTTTAGCAGCATAAAGCCTCCCTGTTGTTTCTGTAGTACATTGTGCAGTGGTGGGGCTTGAGCCAGCGTTGGCATCACCTCTGCTGGGTGGAAGGGAAGTTATTCCAGGCGTTAACTGTCCATACTGGAAGAAACTATCACGGGCTCTCTAAATACTTGGGCAACAAACCAACTCTAAGCATACAGAAGCAGTTTTAGGGATGGTTAGCTGTTCGGATGAACGAATGCATGAAAGATGTTACTGATGATTGATCCTCTACTTAAATTACGAATGATCTTGAAGTTTCTTTAAACGCATGATAAACAACTTCATCTTTTCTTTTTAGTTGATGTCCATCAGCGTGTTAGGTGTTTCTGCTTGGATGAGAGACTACCTGAATAATGTTCTCACTTTAACTGCAGAAACGAGGTAAAGCTTTCCTTAAACCTATTAATCTGTGTGGGTGATTGATTGCAGTATATGTCGTTCATTCTGTATGGCAAGTTTCCTAATTAGGATTTCAAGAATTAAGAAGCCTTCACTTGAGCTAATTATTGTTTTGTTGAAAGGTGTGTTTTTACAACCTTTTCTGGCATCATCTCAAATTAGAGAAAGGGGAAAGATATGAGTTCAGTCTTGTTTTATTCCTGTGCCTTTCTCTTCTGACAGGGATCAATTTTTGGCTCTTTGCCAACATGTAACCATATTATATTACTCTTTAGTTTTGAATACTTTATTCAGTCCAAAGATTTAGGAATGCTGTTAGTTTTTATTACAGCAGTGCTTATGAGCCCTAGTGATGAAACAGGGCCTCATTGTGCTGCATACTGTGCAAGTGCAAGATGGGAAGATTGCTTTCGCCCTAGAGAGATTTCAGATGATGCATTACTTTCTGGTACCCAAATGCAGCATTTGCCTTTAAAACCACATAGGAGAGATTTCTGTGAAACATGTAAGGCACTGGAAATAACACATCTGCTAATCCACCCTTTTCATTTTAATGGCTATATTACGTTTTTCTTCTGTCATTTTTGTGCGATTATGCTGGTTTTTTGATTATGTTTCTGATTGGTTTTAGGGTGGAGGAGGCTGTCATTTTGACTTACTTTCCTGTGGTCCATCCGGTCATGATTGCAGTGTGCTGTTTCCTCATCATAGTTGGAATGCTGGGCTACTGTGGAACAGTGAAAAGAAATCTGTTGCTCCTTGTATGGGTAGGTTTCATAACCTCTAAAACCAGCTAACTTCTGCTTCGCTTCAACAGTGTAAGAAAAGTTTTAATCCACAGACACTAGATAAATACTGATTATTTTTTATTATGGCGTTGAGTTATGATATTGGGGAGGAATTGTAATTGCAAAGCACACGGTAGGAAAGAATTTATTGCCTAGGCTGCTTTATGCTGTGACTGAAAGACAAGCAGTGTCTCATTTGCAAAAATCCACTTCTTTTAGTAGAAGAGTTGCTGAAGGGAAAAATAATGCAAACTCTTTAAGTACTAATAATTATAGGAATGTGAGTGTGGGAGCCCTGAAATACACACTTATGCTACCCTTTTGACTCCTGGCTGTGCAACACCTAAATAACCTAGACTTTGCTTTATCCCCACAGTTGATTGTGTGTATAAAGTAACAGCATTTGTAGCTGATGGAAGTTAATTCTGAGTGCATTCAGAAGCTTTGCCTTCTCTTACGTGGATGTGGAATTTTGCAGTTGTGTTTGGTTGTGAGCAAGTTTAAAAATAAATTCCAAGTACTTGGCTTTTTTCTTTGTTTGGAGGCTATGTAACTGGGCCAACGGCAGCTGAAAAGCAGTAGTCGCTGCTGTACAAGGCTCTGTCTACGGTTTGACTGTGAGGCGTCAACTGTCAAGGGAATCAAATGCCTCTTTCTTCACCTGGAAGTCAGTGAGTTTGAGGACAATAAAAAAAACCAAAACAAAACACCCCCAAAAAAACAAAGCCCCCAAAGCCCATCAAACTTGCACAACTTTTAAAAGTTTAGAGTTTAAAAATATTTAGACCATTGGCAACACTGACATCAAGCAGTGCCACGTACCTCTATGTTTCTTGGAAGTTTAGCTGGTAGAACTTTACAGTGTTGGGCTTTGTCTTGTAACGAGAGGATGGGCAGGATTCCAAGCAGTCTGTAAGCCCAAGAGAGTGGGAGCAATGGGTGTGAAAGAGGCCTGTCAGACTGGACTGCCATAATTCCCTGGAAGTGTTCGAGGCCAGGTTGGATCAGGCTTTGAGCAACCTGATCTAGTGGAAGGTATCCCTGCCCATGGCAGGAGGGTTGGGACTAAATGATCTTTAATGTCCCTTCCAACTCAAACCATTCTATGATTCTAATTGCGATAGGAGAAAGTGGACAAGTAAAATCCTTCAGCTTTTGAGAATATCCAAGAATCTTACACAAATAGAGCTGGCCTCCTGCTGTTTTTTCACTGCAGTGGGTGTTTGGGTTCTGCCGAAGTGCATACAGTCGCATTTTTCTTGTGGATCTGTGTGGACTTCAGTACCTGATACCTTGACCTCAGCAATTTTGCACAAAATGACCAAAAAAAGAAGTGGGAGGTTGGCTGAGACTTATGCAACCTTTGCTTTTATCTAATATATACAGTATGAAGATTGTTGTTTCAAAGCCATACAGTGAGGAAAAACTCTCATTTAAATCTGAATACTTTTAGTACTATAATAGTCATGCATTTTTTATTTCTAAACCTTAACTTTGCAAAGTTAAAGTCAGTAGGAGCAAGTTCTAAGACAGATGTTGCTTAGTTATGTGCACTTGAATAAAAATAATGGATTAATGTAGTTTTGTACTATATAATTATTTATCTAGCGATCTTTCTTACATACTGTGAAAGAGCTTTGTATATATTTTTGTTTTTTGTAAATAGTGAAAGTATTGAAAAATGGTAAACTTATCAAGCCCTTAGTTTTTATGGTAAGGTTATAAGATTATTTTCATAAAGTATTTTTTATTTTATAGTGGTGATAGCTTTTAATGTGAACTAAAATCAATTAAAACGCAAAACCAACTATATGATATAGACCAATACTACATAGTATCTGAAAAAAAAAAGTTGTTATTTTTAGCATAACCCTTGGAAAAAATAATGACTAATTAAATACAAGTTAATTAATCTGAAGGCCAAAACCAGTTTTAAACTGCCAGTGAAAAGAAGAAATCATTTATAGCTTTTAATGCCATCTGGAAATAAATTATTTAAAGTGTGTTTAGGCAGTCAAATTCTACTAAATCAAAACAAGACATTTCTGTCGTTTTAAGTTGCAATATTTCATTTTCAGGAGCCTGAGAATTTGCTCTTGCTAAGTAAACTGATAAGCAAAACTAAATTATATCTTCCAAAGTATGTCATTGCCTTTGATTAATTGTTAAATGGCTGCAATCGTGTTATACCACAGAAGTATGCAGACCTAAGTCAGTGCTTCATTCATCAGACTAATCAGAAAAGTGATGGATCAACAAAATGAGCTTTTGTTCAACCAGATGAACTAAAAGAAAAGAATCTTCATGTAAAACATTAACAACCTCTTCAATCATGCTTTTAATCTTCTTTTTGAAGTACATGAACAGCCGTAATGATGGCATGCAGAGATATTTGGATACAAATCTTGACATTCCTGACAGCATGCTAATTGCTAGTGCTAATGTCGTTAATTGAATTGGATTTTTGCAAAAACCTAATAAAACATAAGGACCATAAAATATATATATTATGGTGTTAGATATTTTTAATACAAATGAATACATAATTATTTTCATTTGCATTTGAAATTTTATCTTGCAGTTACATGCTTGAAACCTTCCCAGCTTCACATGGGGGATAAATATAAATTGAACTAATGTTTACTCAGCTTAATAGTAAGAAAATATAACACTTCAGGCTTCTGAGGTGCATGCTCCGGATTATTTCTGGAACCAGCATTTTAAAACTCTGATGATTTAATTGTAATTACTTCAGGAATACATAATCCTGAAGGCTAGGTGGTATAAAGAGGCCTCATGTACTTTAAGCGTCTAGAATGTAATTTTGTTGTGTGTTGTGAATGACCAGTGTCCTCATGTAGAAGTGACAGTGATGCCTGCCTAAACTGGAAGATCTGGACCACTCCAAGTCACTGGCTTGAAGGTATAAGAAGTCCAAGGATAAGAAACTAGAGTCTAGTTTTATAGTACTTGTTACAATTTTTCAAACAGGGTTCTTGAACGTATTTTTTTAAATCCAAAACCATCCTTTACATCTTCTCTTCTGAGGCTCTGTACGTTTTGGATTGTTTTGAAAAGTATGCTGTGCGCATAGCCTAATTAAAAAAAAACCACTCAAAAAATCAAACAAAAAACCAACACACGCATATTTTCTTTAAGAATAGTAACCTTAAGCGTGTGTGAATCTTTTTGAAGTTCTTGTTTTATTAAGACAAGATTAAACTATTGGTTGACAAGAAGAGCTTCATGAAAATCCCACTGGAAAATTTTTTCCTGGCTGGAGTTTTCCTTGCAAATTCTGGCATTTGTAACTATGAATTTTCTGTAATTACAGCATTCAAACAGCACGGGATTCAAATTTGTCTGCGTATGTTTTCCTAAAGGAGAAAACTATTAGAAATATTTGATGGTCAATAGGGCAAATCCTTTTACTGATTTTTATTATAAAATTGGCAGAGAGATAAATATTCCTCAGAGCTAAACTTTGTTAAACCCTGTTGGTGTGTGGTCAAACAGCTTGTTAATTCAGTTATGGCAGAACGTGGTTATAAATTGGAACTTGGCAGACTAAATTTTCTGTTAATTGAGTTGAAACACAACCAGACAAACCATTATTAAACTAAGCTGATCTTTTATTTAAAAGCAGGCAAATATTTTGTAAAGACAAAAAATGGAATGATGCCATGTTTTGGTTGAAAATGTAAACTGAAGATGTGACAAACCTAACCTGAAGGTGGCTGTTTCATGTCAGTAGTTCTTAGCCAGCTGAATGCAGTGTTGGTGAAGGTGGTTTCTGTGAAGTCCATCTGGAAAATGACTGGGGACCACTGACCATATCACCACTTCGGGCAGATTCCCCATACACCCATTTCAGTCCATGTGGATGCACAGGTGATAGAGGTGATTAAATTTGGACGAATGCTATATTGCAAGATACCAGTTGTAGCTGCTGATGTCTTCCCAGAAGAGACTCTGCCTCTGTGGGAAATGTTAGCTGCCCTGCAGTACCACAGCACCAGGTATCCTGCAGTACTTGTGGTTATAGCTGCCATGAGTTCGTATGAGAGTTTACTGATAATTTTTTATCGTCTTTTTTTTTTTTTGTGGCAGCAGGTATTTCTGCAATATTGCCTAATATAGATTATTTGTTCAGTAATAATACAGGATATAGGGGCAATGGATTTAAACTGAAAGAGGGCAGATTTAGGTTAGATATAAGGAAGAAATTCTTTACATTGAGGGTGGTGAGGTACTGGAACAGGTTGCCCAGAGAAGTTGTGGATGCCCCATCCCTGGCAGTGTTCAAGGCCGGGTTGGATGAGGCTTTGGGCAACCTGGTGTAGTGGAGGATTTCCCTGCCCATGGCAGGGGGGTTTGGAACTAGATGATCTTCGAGGTCCCTTCCAACTCTAACCATTCTATGATTCTATGATATTTGTTCTGACCCATGTGGACTCTTACCACAGTCCCAACTTTTCCAATACCTTGTACTATCATTTGTCACTGGAGTTGTTATTTACAAACCAGAAGTATTTCTTCATTATTTACCTCTCAAGCATTAAAAGGGAAGAAATAACTGACAAACATGCTTGGTGTAAAGCCATGCAGTTTAGAATTAGACAAGACAGAGACTGAGTTCATTTTCATACTTTGTGCCTTTTATCAGCAACTCATTTACGAATGTGGTGTGAGCAAGAGGAAAACATAGATTCGCAAGACAGGTTGGCCTGCCTTGTTGAAAGATGGGTTTAAGTGGGTTTATAGTGCTGTAGGACAGGTTCGATGAGAAGCCAGTACTGTGCTAAAACTCAGATTCAGATAGTGGGTAAGTAGAGGGCTGGACATTTAGCTTGTGTTTTGAAGTGCTGCTTGTTTGACGTTCCACTTGTAAGGGAAAATACACTTGAAGTTCACTAATCTTTGTTGTACTCCCGTTGTTTCAGATATGAACAATGTCCTGAGGAAAATAAATACAGATC